TGTGAGAGCACCCAATGAAAATTGCCATTGTATCGTTGATTCGATATCTCTTTTCAGTCACTTCAAAAGAGGAGTAGGTCCAATTCGACTGTATTTTTTTATGTTTATTAGCTCATATCTTTCGACCGAGGCAACCGATTTTTATGATTTTTTATTTTTTTGTAAGCTGGTTCTTCCCATGTGGTCCTATTAATTTCATTGGTATTGGATCTTGGGCTCCGGAGATATTTAGGGAACTTCTGAAAATCACTTATAAAATGAATACAGAGCGAGATTTTTGAAATCGTTTTTGTTTTCCTTTAATAAAAATGGACTTGTTACATTCCACCTTTAATAAAACACGTTTTATCGACTCTCAAAAGAAATAAGTCCCGTCGAATAATTGAAATTAAAACTTCCTGCTACCCTGAGTAGTGTACACCCCCATCTAGTATTCTGCAGACGCCCGTCGACGTAAATTATTCAAGGCAGCAAACGTCACGGTTCCCCGCAATTTGACATTGACGTCTCGCTTGAGGTATCGATGGGATATTACGGGCATTAAATTTTATTTTCTTTTTCCTTTTTATTGAACATTAAAATTTTGTAGGAATCCTAGCGACGACGAGAAAATTTTGACAAATTTTCTACACATTTCAAGCGTATTAATGTTCATTGTATACCCCGTGTTACCAATTCTTCGTGATCATTGTCGCGGTCATCTCGTCAGGGAGTCAAAAAAGTGGAGCAAAATAACAGCCTATACAAGTTTCACCGCTGGGCAAAGTCTATTCTGTACAGAGGGTATTAGAGTAGTCCACCACGCGACTACACTACGGATAGGCAGACTTCATATATCTTCGGAATTTTTTTGTTCTTGTTACGAAAATATGCAGGAAGTTTTCTTCACTGATCGTTTTTCTAATTTTTTTTTTTCATTATTCAGCTCTTAAGTTAACAATTTCATTGGTGCTTGCTCCATAATTAATTGAATTAATAGAATTATATCCCGCACACTGAGCTATCACTGCACTATCTATTTCAATCCAACCCTTTTACAGTTGCCCCTAACCGGTTAAGTATATCTGTCTTTATTGTTTACGTTTATTTTCAAATCCTATTTAGTCCTAAAAATAGGATTTCTTATCCCTAATATTTTCCAGCCCGCCGTCATACCTGTATCAATCGAGGCTGCGCAGCCTAAACCAACAACTTGGTAAATTGGAGGCGTAACAAAAGAAAAACGGACTAGCGGATAAACGAAATATAGAATTTAAATAAGCTGTGGAAATCTGCAAAATATTTACCATCGCGAATTTTAATGCGAAAGATACGATAGTTTAACGGTGGAAAGCTTTGGGAAACAAATATCTGTGGAAGTAGATGAGTGATTTTTGTATTACCACGAAAACAACAAACACATCGTCCATTCGTTTAACGGCAATTTTTATCTTACGGAATCACGAGGGAAGTATAGATCAAAATCCTTTTTTAACTTATTATTATTACCAGTTGTATTCGCCACTTTCATTTATGTTTTTTTTTTTGTATAATTACAACTGTAATGTGGGTTTTCTTTAGATCAGTATAATTTTAACTGAACCAATCGGTCCCAATTATTTCAGTTGTTTTATTAATGCAATGACAAAGAAATACATACGTAAGAAAATTGAGTAGATATATGCTATACAATACTAATATAAATTGACATAGAATATAAAGGTAAAGGAAATAAAATAAATGAAATACGCAGAACATGATTTTACTTTGTATGTACTTGAGCTGTCTGTTCTAATCTTAGTCTTTGACCAGCCGCTATTCCAAGCGAAAACGTGTTAAGGGATATTTGAACAAGATTCGCCTAATTTTAGCGGACTAAATGTGTTGATCTTTCGCCTTTGAAGGTTGCTCCATTCTCTTTTATATTATCACGCCCTTCTAATAACGCCCCTCTGAGGGTCGAAGCCGGCATTGTTATAAAATGATAAAACAAAGGTTTCGTAATGTTCAAAGTGAGCGTAATGGCTTTATTTGATTTGAAATTACTTATTTTAAATCATTAATGTTAAGGCTCTTAAGACTTTTGAAACTTGGTTTGTGTTTTGTTTAATTTTTAATATGATCGAGAGCGCCGTTGCTAAGCCGTTGGCTTCGAGGTCGTGGGTTCGATTCCCACACGGGACAAGTGTTTGTGTGACCCGCAAATAATTGTCCCGGATCTGTGTGTTTGTTTCCCGAGGGTTGACGTAAGGCAGGCCGGAAGTAAAAATCATTGCCAAAACCGCTTGCAACATAATTTACATGTGCGGACCCCACCAAGGTGGGATAAGGGGAGGAGGATATGATAATGATATTTAGCTTTCCCTGACGCAGTTGCCGAGACAGATATTTGTGGGAGCCCCAATTCCGGATCGGGCAATTAGTTCTTAGAGGTTTGAGGTCAGGCAGTCCGATTGTAAGAAACCTACCCAATGCCGCTAATAGCATGATTCACATAATCAAACACCTTCCTTCACGCACGACGGACCTGTCAGTGAAGAGAGACCTGAGGTGGAACTGTCATACTTCAGCGTTTCGTCTGGTGAGTGAGGTAACCTGAGCCCACTTTATCAGAAGGTGGCAGCGTGTCTGCAACCCCACGGGTGTTGCAAATGTCCGTGGGCGGATGTTATCACTTAACATCAGGTGAACCGTCAGCTCGCTAGCCACCTTTTCATATGAAAAATCGACACGGGCAGGTGAATGGTGAGTCAGGTAATCCGGGCCCACTTTTTCAAAGCTTGGTGATGGATCTGCAACGCCTCAGGTATAGTAGATGTCCATGGGTGGCCGTAATCACTTAAAATCGTTGCAACCTTCTCACATATAAAACCGGCCAAGTGCGAATCGGAGTTGCGTACGAAGTATTCCGTACCACAATCTATAAAAACGGCAAACAAATCATTTCTGTTGAATGGGAGCCCCACTGAAATATTTCTTATTCTGTTTTTTAGTATTTGTTGTTGTAGCGGCAACAGAAATCTGTGAAAATTTCAACTGTCTAACTATGACGGTTAACGATATACCGGCCGGTGATAGACAGACAGACAGAAAAAAAAGATTTTAGTAGATAATTGTTGTCTAGGGGAAAATAAATAAAAGGAAATGAATAAAAAATACTTTTATTTAGTTTTTACCTAACGGTGATTTACAATCGCCGCATATAACTATTACATTAGAATTTATACATAATAATAAAAAATCTCGTAGCATAAAATAAAACTTATCCAAAACAAAGGTACATATTTTGTGAGGTGTCATCCAACTTTGATCCATATCTTATAGGTAGTGGGTTTGCATTTGCGATGAGTTAGTTAAGTTATCGTTACGGCATGAAATTCTTATTGAATAAAGCACACAAACGCAACTCAATGTTTACTTGTGTGCGTTATTTTATAACATTCAACTCGTTTTGTATAATTAAACGAATATAGCTCTTATAGATTACTACATATAATTCATTTTCAATCAACTCTTAAGGCAATTGGCACGGTAATAAGTCATATCGATTTTCTTTCCATTTTCACAACATTGAAGTCTATAAAACTGTTACATGCGCATGCTATTTCATTATATTTATAATTCATAACAAAAATATCTACTGATCAAACTTGTCCGACAGTCTAGTACTTTTTAAACCGTATTTAAATATTTACAGTAAATGTTGTTAGTTAGCATTTAACTCAACTCTTCTCGCTTCCAACTTTCTTGGATTATTAACAACTGTGAGTCGTCACCAACAACTAGTGCCCCATTAAAGTCTCACAGAACAACAAAGTCCGAAGACATAATAATATCACATGGGAAACATTTATAATGTAAACATTTATAAGCTGTGGGCTTCGAAACGATCACAATCCCGCGTAAATTAGTAAACACTTCGTTAAGAAAATCACAGCACTCCAATGCCCAGCAGTGGGCCGAACTCTAGTATTGGGTCGCCCAAACATTACGTAAACAAGGTAGAGGATAGATTGTAATTTTTTTGTAACGGGAGTGGAGGTAAACATAACATTTCATCCATTTCCGATCTTAAGTATATAAATAATATCACTCCCAATGATATAAGTACCCAATATAGCCTATACTCAAACACAGTGACAGCAAACATTCGCACGTTTCGTTCGATTGGTATAAAAAGGATAGTGGTTAGAGATTCTGAGCGCGGACAATCCGTCTATAAATTTTTCCCTACAAGTATTGCTTTAGTTGATCAATTTAATCGTGGCTTCATTAAAGCAATAAGAAAAATAGGACGGGCAAGTGTTTGTCAAATCTCGAGTTGCATCCGTCTTTCTTGTCCCCGTATTGCTTTGTTATCGTTTTCGTATCTGTTGTATTAAATACACAAACTTATTTGTTAACTAAAATATGAATTGGTCTAAGTAAAGATAAGGCAGCAATTGGTTACGTTCGATAAGGATTCCGCAAACGTCGCTGCGTGTCACGTCAGCGAATTAAAAACACTGATGTGTAAATGTTTGAATATAAATTACTGTCTTAGAATATAAAGTCTGCTTACGTAACATTCGCGCGCCCTCTATTCTAGTTAACAGAGCGTTTAAAGCACAACTGTGGACCTTACCAGCCACTGTGGGCCACAGAGAATCAGTTCCTCACAGCAAACATTCCTAAAAACCATTGCTCCACTATTGGAGTTTCCAGATCATCTTCCACCGCATCCCAGTAGGTGCAAGAATCAAATGTACCCGCCCACAGAGGGCCAGTCCATCGTAGCTAACATTCAAGAAGGGATGGCTCTAATCTCCGAGCTCACTGCGAGCCATCTTCGGCAGTATTCCAATGGCTATAAGGTTTAAATATGCTCGCAGACAGTCAGTCCCAAATAGCACGCATTTAAGATGGTAGACTCCGAACCGCCTGCAAGCCATCTTCGGCCGTATTACCGTGGCCGCAAGGTTCAAATATGCCTGCCCAGAAACAATACCTTCAAGAAGCTACTACGCAACACTCGGAGCTCACTGCAGGCCATCTTCGGCCGTATTCTCTTGGGCGCAAGGGTCGGAGTGGCGCGCGGCCGTCGCCTGCTGCAGCACCCGCTCCAGCCGCTGGCGCACGTCGCCCAGCAGCGCCCTCTGCGCGGGCTCCGCCGCCCAGCAGGCCTGCATCAGCTGCCAGCACTCCTCGGAGAAGTGGGGCAGCCGCTCCGGCCGCAGCCCTAGAACACCCCCAGGGTCGTGATTATGATTTGTGTGGCGGGGGTTGGATAAGTCCCAGCGACCACTGCTAGAAGATCTATTATCTATAGAAGATATATATCGAAGTTAGATTTACCAGCCCTACCGGGATGGTAAATCTAACTTCGATAGTTCACTCAGACATGTATATTTAATCGAAAGAACAGTTTAACAACGCTAAATACACAGCTAATACATAGAATGTGGTAAATTTATGTAAATTTTATGAATTCGGACGTGCATTCGCCGTGGGGATATGGAAATGACTGATTGTGGGAGTGCCACATATGAGTACAAATATTTCTATATTTAGTTAGAAAGGCGTACCGCGTTTCACTTTACTCCACAACTGCTCCTTGTTCTGGAAGGCCTCGAAAGCGGCCGGCAACTTGATGTTGCCAGCGCACACGTACCTGGAGAAATTTAATTTGATTTAGTATAACCTAAAACATAAAGCATGAAAACGCAAAGGCTTTACGAGAACTGGCTCGGTCTTAGTGACGTACAAAGAGGACGTAGATCTTTGCCGAAACAGCGCTACGCCCTCACACCGACGTGGCATAGGACGTAGACCTTTGTCATAACAGTGCTACGACCCGCCCCTAACGTCGTAGACCTCCGCCGTAGCATTGCTACGTCGCGCACGAACGAGGTATAGCACGTAGACGCCCCGCTACTGCGTAGAATAGGACGTAGACGTATGCCGTAGCGCTACGACGCAACACCGACCAGAAGAGTATGCCGAAGGCGTAGACGTCGACGGCGGCGTCGTAGTCGCCGGCGAGCAGCTCGGGCGCCATGTGCACGGGCGTGCCCACCACGGAGCCCGACATGAGCGCCTCGGCCGCGCAGAAGCCCAGGTCGGAGAGCGCCGCGCGCCCCGCCGCGTCCAGCAGCACGTTCTTCATCTTCACGTCGCGGTGCACCAGCCCCAGCGAGTGCAGGTAGCGGATGCCTGCCGGGGGCGTCGCCCTTCCTTCATGACATGACCTCGAACGGCTACTCTACTACGACTTCGAATCAATCGGTATACATTTTATATGCTATTTTGAGTTATTCTCTAGTGCAGTGATTCTCAACCACTGTGCCGCGGCACTTTTGTGTGCCGCCAAATTTCAAAAGTGTGCCGCCAAATTTTGCAAAATTAGCCAACATTAAAACTAAAAAAAGATCAAGATTGTTAAATGTAGAAGACGATATGAGAGTAGCATTGTCATTTTTACGACCAAATATAAATGAAATTATCAAAAAACATCAAGCTCAAATTTCGCATTAAAATATTTTTATTATTAGCTTGTAATTAATCCCTTAATAAACGTTTAGTTATTATTGTAATATATATTAGTTTATTTCGTATATTTAAAATTTTTATCATAAACTATTTATGCAGTGTGTTGTAGTAAGTAAATAATTTTTATATTTTTCTTTGTGTGCCGCTAAATTTTGAAATCGTTTAATATGTGCCGCAACATAAAAAAAGGTTGAGAATCACTGCTCTAGTGTATCACTGGAATCCAGGGACTATTTTTATTATTTTCATATTATAAACAACTCACACAGTGTAGTGGACAATAAAGCAGTCTCTTACCGGAGGGCGTGGGATCGATCCCCACTACTGGCAAGATAATTTGCACTGTTCTCATAGTTTTTCAATGTTTAAGTCCGCCATTGTTCGTTATTGTGCAAAAGTTTCTTAACAAAAAGTAAATTAAACGAAACAGCTCACCGTCCACGATGTCTATTGCGATGCGCATGCGGGACTCGAAGCTGAGGCCGGCGCGCACCGCCGCGTGCAGGTCGCGCGAGAGCCGCGCCGACACGAGCAGCACGCACGGCGCCCCGCCCCCGCCGCCCCCCCACCGCCCCCACCGCCCCCGCCGCCCCCGCCCCGCTGCACCAGCGAGCCCAGCAGGCGCACGATGCGCGGGTGCGGCGGGATGCTCCTGCCGACCGTCACCACCACTGACCACAGCGCCGCCACCGGCGAGCCCGCTCAGTGGCCGCTGGCTCGCCACTGTTCGGCTAGCCTTGTTAGGACGCTAGCCTCTTTTTGAGGCACTCACTGGGTGGTAAAGTTGTGGCCTATGTATCTCACCGATGGGCAAAGGCCTCTTCTGTACAGACATTATTACATACAGGCCGTATGAGAATACAGTTCACAACACAGCTATTGAAAAGGACAGTGTGTATACAGCGTGTCGTTACGCGACAATAAATGAACACACATATAGAGGATAACTTTTTAAAATTGTATTAAACATTTATATTCTTCAAACATGAATATTTACCCGAGTTATTAAATTTTCCAAAACAAACAATTAAAGAACACCCTTACGTATAAAACTGTAACATAAAGTTCATTTGTTAAGGTCACAAAGCCCATTCATATGGGTTGAATGAATTTAAAAGAGACAAAACATACTGTTAGAAGGAGAGGCTTATGATGCGACGCTGTGGCGCGAGTTGTATAGGATGTTACAAATTTTGTTTCTTTTTTACTTAATTACTTTGTTTGAAAAATATTTTTATTAATTATGGATTTTGTTTAACGTTAAAATTTTTTTTATGATTATTGGCAAGTAGCGTTAGACGTGTGTTCACTTATTGTCGCGATGGTAACGACACGCTGTATATATATAAACTATAGCTAGCTTTTTAACAAGATCTTGATATTATTAAAAGGAATAGCCAACGCCCACATGTTTACTGGCCAAAACGCAAAAGTGATTACATCTCATTTGTCACTTTTCAGCTAGGACGTGGACAGCGTAAACTTCTACCAGACCTCACAGAAGACCGGCGTCAAATAAAAATGTTGCACTACTGCGTTTCGTCCGGCGGGCGAGATAACAGGTCCACGAACGGCAGCTTCTGCCACCTTCCCACATAAGTGACCAGGGCGGTCGCGTACCACCAGGCCAGCCGATTGCTCGTCCCCTTCACCCCAGAGCCCCACCTGGTGTAGAAGAACTCCATGGCGAGGTCCTGGTAGTGGCGCTCGTCCGCCGGCAGCACCGACTTGACGGCGGCCGGGCCGTGCCCCGCCCAGCGGCCCCGCACCGCATACACCACGCCGTACTGGCCGCGCCCTGAGCACGGAACGGACTGACCTCACACGGCCTGGCCTTGTCTACCCTGTCCCCCTTCCTCCAGCCTCATCACCCCCTGACCTCACCCTAAGCCTTGACCCCGTCATCCTTGACCTCCTACCCCTGATATCTACTCCGTTAGCTTTCACGCCTCCGCGTCTTAAATATGACCGACTCCAATTTCTGACCTGCTACATCTTGGTCTTGTCATCCCTAACGTCATACCCCTGGCTTCAAAGTCCTAAGGTACGTATGAGAATCGTAAAAGATGGTATGATATGATGATTCATGAACCGTGCGTTTGGGGTCCAGGTTGGCCATTTAAGTGGATCCTAAGAGGCATCAACTAGAATTGGTCTCGTGCTCCCACAAAGCAGCGAGGATATTACACAAGGTTTATCATTCTTTGAAGTGTACTCATTCCCGCTTAGTTTTCGACGGTTCTTCTCAGGCTTTTCTTTTTCGAACTGGGCGGTAGCGTTTTAACAATCTAGAAGAAAGTGTAATGCTTCGATATTGAATAAAGATATTCGAATTTGAATTTGTATAAATATTAGTCGGCACGACGCATTATTAAGCTCGGTATCGGAACATTAAACCAACTTGTGATCCACGATCTCAGATCCTATGGCCATTTACTTTAAGCGTACTAAGGCCTACTTTAAGCCAGGCCTTCACTGAGCCTCGCCACCCAAAGCACTACTCCGCCTCGGTCAATCCATGACGAGATCGGATGCGAATCGCGCGACAAGTTCAACTTATTGATCCGACAAGCTCAACCAATCGATCCGACAAGCTCAACCAATCGATCCGACAAGCTCAACCAATCGATCCGACAAGCTCAACCAATCGATCCGACCAGCTCAACCAATCGATCCGACAAGTTCAACTTATTGATCCGACAAGCTCAACCAATCGATCCGACAAGCTCAACCAATCGATCCGACAAGCTCAACCAATCGATCCGACCAGCTCAACCAATCGATCCGACAAGCTCAACCAATCGATCCGACAAGCTCAACCAATCGATCCGACAAGCTCAACCAATCGATCCGACGAGCTCAGCTCAGGCTCACCTCGATCTCGCGACCCAGCTCCGGCATTCCGGCATTCCGTACATGAGAAGGTCGCACATCGAGGTACTCTCGAGGCAGAGGCGGGCGAAAGCGGGCGCGTATCTGCAAGGGAACCCATAAGAGATCACATAACAGTCATAGGAATAGCTATATTTGATTGATTTTAGGGCTCCGTGTGCACAGTTGTTAATCTGTTGGCTGCGGCGCAGTTGGCCGCAGGTTCGATTCGCACGCGGGACTTGTTTTCGTGACAAACATATGATTTTTGTGTTTTTAAAATGTAGACAGAATCCCGTGAGACTTCAGAAGACTTAGTTTGCCGCTGCAAACTGCACGAAACGGAAGTATTACACTTCCAGGTTTCGTTTGTTAAGTGAGGTAACCGGGGTCCATCTTCGATAGATTGATCTACAAATACACAATTACGAGTAGTGCGTCTCCTTCGACGTTGGTGATGTTGAGTAGTATGTTAACGATAAATAAAAGGTAAAAATTTTACTACGGATAAAGTAACAGCCTATACATGTCCCACTGCTGGTCAAAGGCTGCTCTGTACAGACGGCATTGGGACATAGTCCTCCATTACTCTTTGCGGATTAACGGACATCGCATATCGTCGAAATTTTCTTTTGTATTTTAATCTATAATTAATGTAACAACAAAACACTTGCTTCTTCCTGATGGCCAGTTTAACGTCTTCTGTGTGATGAAGACGGTTGGCGAGAGCCGCTTCTAAGGAGGCCAAAGCGGATTGGTACTTCTCGTGTGCAACGCTCAGCCTCTCGAGTATCTGTGAAAAGTATTGTGAATAACTTTTTGTATTTAGGCGATTACTTATTATGAACAAAAGTATTTTTATTACACTTACTATTTATTTTACAACATATTAATGGACAAACACACAGATGCGGAACGATTATCTGTCGGTCACACAAACACTTGTTCTTTGTAGGAATCGAACCCACGAACTTTTTACTATAGCAGGGCCATGAAACACTCTTAGTTGTTTAGCGAATGGGCAGATCCGTCCTGGGAAGTACCACGACATCACGGAAAATCGGCGTGAGGCGGAAGTGTTATGTTTCCGCGTTTCTGGTGAGTGAGGTGACTTGGGCCCACTTTATTAGATGGCGGCAACGCATCTGTCAACCCTACGGTTGTTGCAAATGTCGATGGGCGGCGGTTATCCCTCAAAATCCAACCGCCAACACACACAAAAGAACACTTCAATTGTGTACATGTACGCTGGTGCACACTAGTGTACACTCGTGTACGTGGTGTACACTGGTGCACAGGGTACCTGTCCGGAGATGATCCTGGCGAGGCGGTGCGTGCTGAGCGAGTTCACCGTGTGCAGCGCCACCTGGCGGCGCCACACGGGGCTGAGCACGCAGCACGCCTCCTCCACGCCGCCCGCCCCGCCGAGCCTGTCCGCGATAGCCTTGTCGCGTCAATTATGTCGCCGTAGCACCAGGACTTAATGCGTTTCACTGCTGTCTACGTCGCCGCAACGGTCTTGTCGCGTCATTTATGTCGCCACAGCGTCGTGAAGGAATACGTTTCACTGTCATCTACGTTATGTAGTTCCTTTTCTATGTCGATTTTCGAGACACAAACGAAGTTTTTTTAGGGTTTTGTACCCAATGGGTAAAACGGGACCTTAAAAGTTTATAATTACTAAGACTCTGTTCATCTGTCCGTTTATCACCAGGCTGTATCTCAAGAACCGTGACAGTTAGACACGGAATTTTCACAGGTGATATATTACTACGGGGCTCCCATACAACCGAAACGATTTTTTGCCGCTTTTATAGTTGATGATACGGAACCCTTATTTCCTTTTAACTATGGATCTTTAACGTTTATATTGTTTTACGATTGTCTAATGGGTTCGTTGAGGGTCGCGGGCCATACCTGCAGAGCAGCCGGCGCAGCGAGTCGAGCAGGCTGCGCAGCAGCGAGTAGGAGGCGCAGGGCTGCAGGTCCACCTGGCGGGCCACGGCGGCCAGGCGCCAAGTGGCCTCGCTGGCCGGCCGCCCGCCCAGCTCGCGGCGGCACGACGCCTCCAGCGCCCACAGGCACCTGCCACGGCAATATCGACCTTGAGCCCTGCGCCATACGGCTCACGTTTGCTCAGAGGCGTGGCGGCACCGCGCCTGCGACCGACTCTCAACCTTAAACGCCGCCACATACAGCTCACAATTGAAACCACAGCGGACTCCTCCGATCACAGGCAACTAGCGGCGCACTCTCGACCTTAAGCTCTGCGACATACGGCTCACAGTTAAAGCCGCGGCTTACACTCGCCCTATGCCACTCGTGGCGGCAACACTATGCCAATAATATGCCAATAGGGTCGTCAAGGAGTATAAGAGTTAATATTTTAAGATATAATAAGAACGATTCAATACCTTTGCAACGTCCCAAAGTACGTGTCCTTCAGACAGTCGACGAAGTTGACAAGCTTTAGGCTGATCTTGCGACTCAGTTTTGCCAGAACTGTGAAATAGAGCAATAAAAAAGGTTAAAATGTGTAGAAAAAAAGGACGAAAATTCTTTTCGCGTTTCCAGCAATGCTTGGCACCTATTGTTATGTCCTTTACAGCAGACAAACAAATTCAAATATCGTTTTACAACGATGATTGAAAGGAGTTTACAACAAATGTTAATGTTTCATCGTTTAGTCAAAAATCTTTATAGAGCAGCACTATAAAATTTTACACTATTTTTTTATTAACTTTAGGAATGAATGAATGAATATACTTTATTGCACACCAAAAATAAAACAAACAAAAATGAATAGAAAGAAAGGGACGATAAAATAAGAAAAGAGACAGACATAGCGGGAGAAATGAAAGTGAATATTACTACATTGATCACAGCGTACCGGTCTGCTGCACGTCGAGAGACGCCTGCTTTATGGACATCTTGGCGTTGTTGGTGCACGTGGTATTGGTGCTGTTCGTGCTGGTGGTGTTGTAGGTGTTGTAGTTGGTGGTGGTGGTGGTGGTGGTGGCAGTGGCGGTGGCAGGCCAGCCGCGGCCGCTGCCGGACAGCGAGAACACCTCCGACTCGTTCTCGACGTGGATCGTGTCGATTTGCGATATCAGGGAAGCGGCGTCGTCCCCTCTCGACTGTGGATGAGATTATGTTTGTATTAGACATTATGATAAGGCTATATTTAATACTGGCTGCTGCCCGCGACTACATCTGCGTAGAATAGGCTGAGGCGTAACATTCAGACAGAATGACAGATATACATACAATATGTATATAAATTATAGCCTAAATTATATATCTCATTCTGATGTCTAAGCTATATTATTGTAAAGTTTCATTAGAATCCATTCAGTAGTATTTGCGTGAAAGAATAACAAACATCCATACACACAAACTTTCGCGCTTATAATATTAGTAAGAATATTATGATAAATAATTATAGTAGATTTTACGTAAAAATTATATTGGATATTACGAGTATATCAAGATAAGAGTAGATATTATAGCGATACTATATTAAGATCGTAATAATTTAAATTTTGCTTAATTTGCGTTAATCTCAGTTCTAATTTCTGCACTTAAGATTAAACATTAAAATTTTGTAGAAAAAAGGAACGATTCACGAAACAAGAAGACGAACATCTTCGGGATTCGCTCCCTGACGCTCTAGCCACTAAGCTAAACGGCTGATTGCCACAGCTATATGGTTGATATACAATATTATGTTAAGATCATTTTGCAATATGAACCATATTTTCCAACCAAATTCCGACCTTTAGTGCTGTATCCATGACGTGATACTCATTCAACACGATAAAACAAGTGCGAGTCGAACTTTTACGGCAAAGGTTCCGTACCTACCCAATATACGGCCATAAAGAAACTGGTTAATAATCACCACCGACCATCTCAGGAACGGGTGGACGTAGCAAGTTGAAATCCATACCGGATACTGACCTGGAGGCAAGAGCTGATACTGAGGCTCTCGTCGTTCGAGTTGATGATCTCGTAGTCCTCGAAGCTGAAGCTGTCGTAGGCGGCCGCCTCCTCCGCGTCGCAAGGGGGCTCCGCCCCGGCGGGGTGCTCCGCCCCTCCGGAGAGCCCGAGCCGCACTGACTCGCTGGGGCTGCTCCTCGACGAGTAGAAGACGGAGTTGGACACCACGAGCCGCTTGTCCTGGTGGCACGGCAGATCTGGAACGGTGTCCCGTCTTATTTATTTATTTATTTATTTATACTTTATTGTACACCAAAAATAAAAATATATAAAAAGCAATCTACAAATGAATATAAAAGGAAGTACAATAGGCGGTCTTATCGCTCGGAAAGCGATTTCTTCCAGACAACCATTGTGAAAAGAATATTTGCTAATGAGACATAAAGAAGAGAGCAGAGGGAGGTGTACATGAATCACTTATGAACATCGGATGAAGACATTTATTTATGTATTTATAGTGTTCTATACGTCAATAAGATAGTCAAAGATTTCGGGAAAAATAGGTCGTCTTCATTTCCGTCTAGAGTTCGATCGTGTAGTTTCGGGTTCGATCCCGATTCTCGGTACGCCATCGCATCGGCAGCCGGTAATGAATTGCAAGTTATCACGTTTGTCCGTTTAGCTCCGTGGCAAAATGTAATTTGTTAGCCAAGAACACGGTCATTTATGGACCGATCTGATAAGTTTCGTATTGGATTCAAGCACCTTTGTGGTCAGTTATTGGTGGACCTTGGATTTCGGAGATAAAATAAAATATAAATATAAAAATATATATGTTTCGTAGAACAGTGATATATTTGAAGTCGGATTTGCGTTAAAGAGATTTAGCACGAAACGACCGAGAGAAAAAGGCAGAGAAAAAATTACAGATAAACAGATAGGGAAAGAGATAGAGAAAAAAATAGAAAAGAGAGAGAGAGAGAGAGAGAGAGAGAGAGAGAGAGAGATTTTTAACATATCTGGTTTCTTCGTTTCCTTGAACATCATATCAACCACCGAGTGCGGTAGCTAGAACGTTGCTGGTTGCAACGCTTGCAACGCTTGACCCTTGCAGGCCAGCAGCGTCACTCGCGATAACCAAGCGGCGCATACCGTCCACGCTCCAGTCCATAGCTGCCACCTCCTCTCGCATCTCCTTCAGCACCTCCTGCATCATCTGCAACAGCTCGTGCTTCTTCTCGCCCTCGGAGAACTTCTCATTGATGGCCTGGGAGGAAGACCAAGGGACGCTTTACTACTTCAATAACACCCACGTCTCCAACACTACCAACTTAAAGGTTTTCTTGGTTAAAAAAATATTCCCTATAATAATTAATATATGGATAGTAATTAATAAATGAATTATGTGACACATACTTAATACGACTATAATTTGTATCGTTAAATAAGCACAGAACAATCCAAATCAACAAAAAAATAATAAATAAAAAAAATAACTCCAGCAGCAATTTAATAACTAAACCGTGGCGCAGTTGCCAAGGTATTCCCTTCGTGATCGGGGGTCGTGACTTCGATTCCCGCACGGGACTACTATTTGTGTGACCCGCAGATGGTTATGTCGCATCTGGGTGTTTGTCTGCGTGTTCGTATTTATGTTTGTGAAACGTCCTTACAACACAGGATAATGTTTTCCTAATGTTGTTAATGACTTAAAAAAATAAATAAAAAGTCTACTAACTCGTAAGAGCTGTCGAGAAGAAGCCAATAGCTTAGGAACTGCATTCCTGAGTCATCATTGAGTTTGCTTAATCAACGTTCTTAAACACAAGAGGGATGATGAGCCAACAAAGAACACTTAAAACTCCTCCTGGAACCGAGCCGTAGTCCTTCACTGCTGGCCGTATGAGGTAGCTCAAAGTCACTCAGCGAGCCATGGAGCGGGCTGTGCTCGGTATTTCTCTGCGTGGTAGAGGTCGCGACGAAAACATCAGCAGTAGAACCAAGGTAACCGACACATCTTAGAAGATAAGCAAGCTGCGGTGATGGGCCGGCCATATAGGTCGTAGAAACGATAACCGTTGGGGAAGAAAGGTTCTCGAGTGGCAGCCTCGAACTGGCCATCGCAGTGTAGGTCGACCCGCCACTAGATGGAGTGACGACCTGTGCAAATGTGCGGGAAGTACATTGATGCAGGTGGCTCAGGGGAGGCCTATGTTCAGCAGTGGACTCAAACAGGCTGAAATGATGATGATGATGAAAACTTTTTAGCATGTCGGTCATCAGATTCGATAAGACCTGGACTATATTCCAATCTGTGCTACGCCGTAGCATCGTACCTCGTAGAGCTGGCGCTCCTGCGTAGCGACGTACTGTATCTTCTTGGGCACCACCTGCAGCTCGCGCGCCAGGTCGAAGGACGCCAGGATGAACTGCTGCAGCAGCCTCACGTGCACCTGGGACCACATTCGCGTATTTCTGTTCTGCGTGGAAGGGGTCGGGTACTGAGTCCCAAGGATCACTACGACATAGAATATATTGTATTTTCCCCCCTCGAAAACTTCGCCCGTTTACTGTAGGATAACATCTTTTTGTATACATAAATTTCACGGGCGGATTTCAAGTATCTGCGGGTCACTCAAATTGTTGTGCCGTGTGGGAATCGAACCTACGACCTCCGGCACGGAAGCTAATCTTGACAACTGCGTGACGGAGACGCCGAAAATTCAACGGCGTTATATTCATGTTTAGCATTCGCGTTGTAAAGCATTTGGAACTAAACATTCATTTGTAACAGACATTTGTAACACCCATAGGGTAGCAAATGCGTCGCCATCTTATAAAGGAGCGGGCCCCGACTACCTCATTAACCAGACGAAATGCTGAAATAACACTTCCACTTAACGAGGCTCTTCTGTGAGGTTCCGGTACTTACCGATCAGACCTGCCCGTTCGTGCGACAGCAGACCGATGCGTGGCCCTACCCCCGCTGAAGCCATCTCGGATTGCAAGACCCACTACTTGTGTCATTGCACAGTTCATTAGTATCGTAATGTAACCCCCTACATTTATTTACGATACGCACATGCAGACCGTACATCTATTGAATTACATCACTCGGGTTTCGTGGCCCCATTCCTCACGGTAACCAATCCCTCTAAAACCAAACCTCTAAAGCATCTCGAGTTTCGGTGCGCTATTAATCGCCCCGTGTTTAACATGGCACGCCTCGCGTTTCGTGGCCCGCCTCGCGCGCGATCAATCGCCCCGCGTTTCGCAGCCCGATCGTTTCGCACCGAGACGCCTCGCGTTTCGTGGCCCACCTCGCTCAGACGCGAGCAGCGCTGCAGCAGGGCGCCGTGCGCGCAGTCCGCCGCGAACTTGAGCGCCGCCGTCAACAGAGCGGAGCGGCGCGTGCAAGCGGCGCCCGCTCCCGCCCCCGCTCCCGCCCCCGCCCCCGCCCCCGCCCCCGCCCCCGCCCCCGCCCCCCCCCCGCCCCCGCCCCCGCCCCCGCCCCCGCCCCGCTCCGCCCTCGCCGCCCGCCGGCTGCGCGGCCGCGAGCAGCGCCGCCTCGTCCAACAGCAGCCATTGGCTCTTCGCGTGGTGCTTCGGCGGCGGGCCGACTGACAAATACGCGTGCACATTTCATTTATTTTAAATCAAACAGCAAGCCCTTTTACGGTTCCGTACGCAAAGGGTAAAACGGGACCCCATTACTAAGACTTCGCTATCTGTCTGTCTGTCCGTTCACAGATGATGTATTTCTGTGGCAGCTATAACAACAGATACTAAAAAAAAAAAAATATTAAGCGGGGCTCGGAGTATAGCTCGGTCATAATAGTACGGAATTCTGCGTGGCCGGTTTTTATTTGATTTTAACTAACTGTACATTATCTTGCTCACTGATGGAAAATACCATCTCGAGAGTCCACGGGGAAAGGAGAGAAGAGCAGAAAGAAAGAGAGCTCACATATCAACTCCCATTGGTCGAGCAGCTCGTTCATGAAGGCGTTCTGCGCCTCGTGCCGCCGCCGGCTCTGCGTGGAGACGTCTTCTTCGGGCGATTCCTCTCGATGCCTGCGACTGGTAGATTTGCAACACGAAGAATGTATTAAAATTTGTAGAAAAAAGGACGAAAACTTTTTCGCCGCTGTGGGTACCGTATCCACGTCTTCGGTATTCGCGCGCTGACGCTTTAGCCACTAAGCTGAAACGGCTGATTGCCACACCGAAAAATGTTAAAATCTAAATGGGTGTTGCAAATATCGCGGCTGTTATCACATAACATCAGGTGAGCCGCCAGCTCGTTTGCCACTTTCTCACATAAAAAAAAAATATAAATATCACATGGACAAAAACCTAAATCCGGATCAATCATCTGTGGTTCAAAAAAATTGGTTCATCAAAAAGATTTTCCTTACGTGGTGACCGACCTTGGCAACTGCGCCGTAGTCACAATTAAAATGCGTATGAACATTTTTAATAATTTTACAATTCCATCAGTGGAAAGCTGTAAATTGGCTGTCTTGTTATTATCATATTTTCTTATTTATGTTGTCTGTTTGTCTCGCTTTCACGCCAAAACTACAGAACCGATTTAAATGAAATTTGGTACACAGAGTAGCAGATGTCTACGGGCGGCGGTATTCACTTAACATCAGGTGAACCGTCTGCTCGTTTGACAACTTTTCGCATAAAAAAACCCTTTAAAGCGTTCATGGTCACTGTTTTTAGTGTGAATTATTTATAATGTATGATAGAAGGGAGTTTTTGAAATATCATATTTAATTGAAAATAACATTTGTAAGGTAAACTGTGATTGCGTCATTCCGTCATTTATTATAAGTATTCTGTTCGTTCATTTTTCGTTGTGTGCAATGGCGAAAACTACGGTGTTCCTTAAACACCTGTGAGAATTATAAATACAGAGATATTAAACCGGTTGATGAAATACAGGGTGATTTTATAGACGACCGACATATTAACAGAGCATATGCAGATATTGATTCTAAATCAGAATCTGGTACGTACTTGTGACCTTATTTTTTTTTTTCCAAAAAATTTTTAATGTTCTCAAACATTATGGACACCTTAAGAAATTCCTGCCTTACCGTCTCAATACAATACCCTATCGACGAGCACTAAAACTTTTCACTGAACGCATAATTACTAAACCGCTTATCAATAGAGTGACCACTCTTAACGGGATAAACAAACAATGTTTGAATTGATACTTTTCCGGATATTTCTTTGCAGAATAAAATATTAATATTTTTTTTTTGAATTATGGAATGTTCAATTAACATTACGTCGAATTGTGTACTTCGTCTAAAAAATCACCCTGTATAAATAATCAAAGTCGCAAAACACGTCGTGATATACCTCTGAACTGAAAGCGGCCGCCTCGCTCCCATCCGCCTTCCACTCCTCAGGGCACCTATCACCGCTGTCATCACCTCCATCACCGTTCGCTTCATCACCACCCGCTACGGAATCCGCCCTCGTCATATAGTACAGGTTGAAGGTAGACCAGAAATCGTCCTCGCTCCGAGCCGCTATCACATCAGGTGAACCGCCAACTCGCTTGGCACCTCCTCGCATAGAGGGAAAAAAACTTTTCTCCAATGCAGTACTATTAATATAATAGTGAGCTGTTTTTTTAAAGAAATTACTTTAAAAAAAAATACTAAACAACTACGGGTACTAGGCTATTGATATTTGCGTCCGATGAAGCTTTAATAGTCTCGGGACTGAAAGCAAAAACATCAGTTAATACGCTATTGATATTAAATAGGTAACTTGTAAATCTGAACATAATAAAAAACCCGTCGATAGATCTACTAATATTATCGCGTAAGTGCCAATTGGTTATCGGTTAAAGAGCAAAAAATTGCTTCACTTTGGCGTGTCGCGAGTAGAGCACAGCCCCAATAGATTTGCGGCACGTCGCGGCGTGGAAATTCTTTTACTTTCTACAAAATCGCTCCCGATGTTTGTACGCTTAGATCTTTTAAACTACCTAACGGATTCTAATGGGGCTTTTAGAAATAGATTGAGTGATTCAAGCGGTAGGTTTACATGTGTAAAACATGCATATCATAGTAGAGAAAAGTCGACAAATTCAATGTCTACATTGCACCCACGAAGCAGGGGCGGGTCTCTAGTACAGAAATAAACCGTAAGGTCATCTAGTATAAAAATAAACCGTAAGGTCATCTAGTACAGAAATAAACCGTAAGGTCATCTAGGACAGAAATAAACCGTAAGGTCATCGACTTCAGCGGAGTGCTTGCTTACCTGGAGGGGCAGAGTCTCCCAGGGTCTCTGGTTGCACTCCAGATCCTCGACGAACTCGAACTCCGAATTGCCGAGGGTCAGGTGCACCTGCGTGCTCGTTCCGTATTGGATGTGCAGCTGGAATCGTGTGTACGAATGAGAAGAATGTCTGGGTGGGGCAGTTGCCGAGCTATCGGCTCCGGCACCGAGGGTCATGGGTTCGATTCCCGCTCAGTCCAAGTCAGTGTGACCCACAGATAATTGCTCCGGATCTGGGCATTGACTCCTAGGAGGCTTGACGTCAGGCAGGCGGCCGGTAGTGAAAAATCCAGCTAAAATAACTTACAACATGATTCATGATGGGCCGACCCCGCTTAGATGGGATAGGGGCAGGAGGATGATGATGATGGTTGAAAAGAAGACTATTAAAAGTGAAAGAAATTTACTATCACAACTCGGGTGTTCTGGAGGTGTTAACCTCTGTTTGAGAATAGAGTATGGGACTTAAATTCACAGATAGACCGCTTGGGGAATACCTGGGAAAGAGAATCTCCCTCGCCCAATTTAAATATGGACGTTTGACACCCATCCAGCCTGTACTGGTGCTTTTAAAGCTAGCCTAATTTATAACCCACCAAGTATTTTTTCATTAACTTACATAAATCTCCGCTTAAGACTGCAACTATTTCATCAGTGCCGGTATCGGCATTTAACTGATGCTTAACTGCGGTAGGACCACGCAGTAGATTGGCAATTGCTTATGTCGCAGAAGAACGCAGAAGACCGGCATGAAGTGGAATAATTATACTTTCGCATTTCTATTGAGAGCGGTACTGGGCCCATTTATTTGAATTTTTTCGTGGCCGGAGGTATTCACTTAACATCAGGTGAACCGCCTGATAGCTCGACAACTTTTCACATAAAGGGGAAAGTTGTTCCACCGTAGTGGGTTTGAAAGGGACCGAATGGAAAAAACGGACAATGAGCTCTATGTGGTAGGGCCACGCAACAATGCTCGCTGTTGCACGAGTGGGCAGGTCCGTCCGGGTTGGTACCACGACCTCACAGAAGACCGGCGTAAAGTAGAAGTGTTGCACTTCTGCGTTTCCTCTGGTGAGTGAGGTATCCGGAGCCCACTTTATTAAAAGGTAGCAACCTACGGGAGTTGCAAATCTCCACGGGCGGCGGTCATCACTTAACATCAGGTGAACCGCCAGCTCGTTTACCGCTTTCCCACATAAAACATAGGAGCTGCAATGGTTGGTGTGACGTAAATCCAACAGAAGTGGCTCACCCATCGGCACCCTCTTGGCATCGGCTCGGGCAGAAGTCGCCTGCCCAAGAGGCAGTGCAAGAGACGGGCCCGTGCCGTGGGAGTGGTGCCCAGTATAACGAGAGCCGTCGGCCTGGACGACTCGGTACCGATCTCTTGGACGATCGTCGCTATCTCGGGGTCTGGAACGACAGGGAACGTGGAGGAATATTTTAAGCCAAACCAAAGATTAAACTAAACAAGTAAAGTAACAGCCTATACAGGGAGATTTTTTGAGAAGTGCCCAAATTTACACAGGGGGTTCGGACTCGGTAGTATAATCGTTTATTGAAATAAAAAACAGTTTTTTTTTTCAAAAAAAATGCCATTATATTCCCTAAAAAACAGAACGTGTTGACAATGCGGTGGTCATTCATAAATACCTAAACTTTAATGTGCACGAACTTGGGTGCGTGTTAGTTATGAATGATCGCACGTAAAGTAAGTGAGTTGCTATAAATCACGCACTTTTTGAGATAAGTTCAAATGAATGTAATTAATTAGTTACGAGTGATTTTAAATATTTATCATCTTTATCCTTCGCCGCTGAGCACGCGATAAGTCAGCGCTTAAAATGATTTACAAGTAACTCGGTCTGCCCGAGTGTATTGAATTAAACACGAGCCCTCGGACACTGCCCTCTTGTCCAGTTTGTGAAATATATAGTATATAATAATAATAATAATAAAATATCTTTATTCACATAGACGCCTCCGCGTTCCTATGAAACGTCGAAATTTTACAAGGAAATTGATATGTTCGTAAGTTACCACCGCCGGTTCGGAAAGCAGCTTCTGATGAGAAGAAACCGGCAAGAAACTCAACAGTTGCTCTTTTTTAAAAGTTCAGTTTACAATATAATGTTACAAGTATAATAGTCTTGTTTTAGCCTACGTTAGTATCAACAGTATTAACCCCACACATTGGCGTCGTCGAGATATTCAGCAATAGTATAATATGCTTTAGCCATAAGTTTACTTTTAACTTTTCGTTTAAATTCATCAAGTGGCAGACTTAATATCGACTATGGGATTTTATTATACATGCACACACTTTGCCCCATGAACGACCTGTTTACTTTTTGTTGACGAAACAATGGCGTAGTTAGTTTGTCCTTATTTCTAGTATTTAGTTTATGTCTGTCACTATTCTTTAGATAATTATTAATATTATTAACATACAAAATATTACAAATAATACAAAATACGACACCGTGGCGCGAGTTGTATAGGATATTACAAATTTTGTTTCTTTTTTACTGAATTAGTTTGTTTGAAAAATATTTTTTTTAATTATGGATTTGTTTAACGTTAATATTCTTTTACGTACGAATTACGACCGCCTGTGCCGCATTCAGTTTTCCAGCTGCGACACTGTGCCAACTCACCGTATGGTATGACATCGGAGACGTCGTGCAGCGCCCGCGCAGTGTCGCGTAGCAGCGTGCGCAGAATCCGCGAGCGCGCCGCGACGCGCCGCCACGCGCCCGCCATCGAGCGGACATCGGCCGACGCCTGAAAGGATTGAGTATAGAGAGAATTTAAGGCCCATTTGACCAGAACAGCGTGAGCTTTTAGATGAGAAACCTGATGCTAAGTGATGGCCGCCGCCCATTGACATTTCAGTTCCTGCTTCTGCCACTATACAGCGTGTCTTTACCATCGCGACAATAAATGAACACACATATAGAGGATAACTTTTTAAAATTGTATTAAACATTTACATTCTTTAAACCATCAATGTTTAACGAGTTATCAAATTTTCCAAAACAAACAATTTTAGAACATCCTTACGTATAAAACTTTAATGTAATGTTCATTTGTAAAGGTCACAAAGCATATGAGTGAGTTGAATGAATTTAAAAGAGACAAAACATGCTGTTAGGTTTTTAATGATGGATTTTTTAACGTTAATATTTTTTATGATTATTGGCATGTAGCGTTAGACGTGTGTTCATTTATCGTCGCGGTGGTAGAGACACGCTGTATATGCCACTCACTATACATTTTCTATCGGGAGACGTAGCGTTGGAAGGCCTACCTCTAGGTGGACCAACGACATCGTGAGTCGCGGGAAACCGGTGGATACAAATGGCAAAGAGCTGTTCGTTGTGGCGTTCTAAGGGGAAGGCCATGTTCGACAGCGGACGTTTTCAGGGGCTGATGATGTTACATTTGATTTTATTTATTTTACATTTGATTTGTGATGACACATTTTCTATTTGATTCTGAGTAGTTAGCTGGTGTACTTCCGGAGTACAAAATCCAATGTCACGGCAATTAATATAGGATACACTAGGAACCGAGCCGAAACCAAAGCATAAATATTTTTTTAATAATTTCTTAAATGACGGAGTAACAAATATAAATCTTAAATAACGGAGTAACGAACATAAAAAAAATAAAACCGAATTGTGAACGTCCTCATATAAAGCGAGTTGAAATTACCCAAAAATACCACTCACTGACGTTCTACAGACACCAACACAATCTCTATAATCTTATCGCGAATGCGTTACATCAAACAAGCAAGCGTCGCAACTAATACGTGCGCCCTCTCAAAATGTGCCTTTATATAATTATAATAATTTCAGCCTGTTTGAGCCCACTGCTGAACATAGCCATCCTCCACAGACCGCTACGATGCAATATCCTAAACACACGCATCCATGACGCGATGGTATTAAACTGGGGTAGGGCCACGCAGCAGCCTCGGCTGTTGCACGAATGGGCAGGCACGTCCGGGTGTATACCATGACCTCTCAGAAAACCGGTGTGAAAAGGTAGTATAATAAATTTCTATTTAGTTATATATATTTTTCTTATTTTTTTTTTCTTCTTTTAAAAACGTTGCCCTTACTTTAGTATAATATTGTTGTAAGGACGTTTTATAAACATAAATTTCACGCGGATAATTATCCAGATGCGAAATAACTATCTGTGGGTCACACAAATAGTTGACCCGTGTGAGAATCGAACCCACGACCCCCGACGCCGAAGCCCTTGGCAACTGCACCACGGAGTCATCCAATAAATACTCTCGCGTTTCGTCTGGTGGGTGAGGTAGCCGCAGCCCAATTATCAAAAGGTTGTCAACGCATCTGCCATCTCGGGTGTAGCAGATGTCCTTGGACGGCGGTATTCACCTAACACCAGGTGAACCGCTTGGCAACTTTTCACATGTCCAGTAAAAAAGTTTCAATTTACCATTTCGGATGCCTAATGTTGTATTAGATATTTCGCAAACGGCGAATGTTGCAAACAAATATGCGATGCACTAGATGTTGTGTGATTACCTGTTCCCGTTACTAAACTTCAGAAAGATGCGCATTTATGTAACAAGATATGGAATAAAAAAAAAAAAAAAAGGTGGCAAGCGAGCTGACGGTTCATCTGATATTAAGTGGTAACCGTTAATAAACTCAAACTAATTAAGTAAAAAAGAAACAAAATTTGTAACACCCTATACAACTCGCGCCACAGCGTCGCATTACAAGCCTCTCCTTCTAACAGTATGTTTTGTCTCTTTTAAATTCATTCAATCCATTCATATGCTTTGTGACCTTTACAAATGAACTTTACCTTACGCCTCACCTAGAGGGTGTTCTAAAATTCTTTGTTTTTGAAAATTTAATAACTCTGTAAATATTGATGTTTAAAGAATTTAAATGTTTAATACAACTTTAAAAAGTTATCCCCTATATGTGTGTTCATTTATTGTCGCGATGGTAACGACACGCTGTATAAAAATGAATCCCTATTTCCCTTGGTTACGCCATCTCGCGTGAACGGCCGGACCGATTTCGCTAATCCTTGTTTTATAATATTCCTTGAAGTAGGAAGATGGTTCTTACGGAGAGAAAAATTTAAAAAATTGCCTGAAAGTCTAAGAACAACACTTTCCAATATTCCCGTACAAAAGATTCGTAATAATACTTAAAAGTCAATTTGAACTTTAATACCATACCATAAAGTTTAAGTGTTAGTGGAGGGGTTCCGGGAAGGCAAAACAAGTGAGTGACTGTCGTAAAATGTCACTTGAAATGTAAACGTCACTTTGCTGTGCATCACTACATATTATAAAACAAAGTCGTCCCGCTGTCTGTCTGTCCCTATGTACGCTTAGATCTTTAAATCTGCGTAACGGATCTTGATGCGGTTTTTTTACTAAATATAGAGTTATTATATTCAAGAGGAAGGTTTATATGTATAATACATTGCACCCGTGCGAAGCCGGGGCGGGCCGCTATGAATAATGAAATAATCTAGTTTTTGAGAACTAATGGTATCCAAAATAATTATCTTTCGGTCATACAACAGGCCTGTACTTTGCGAGAATCGAACCCACGTCCAGCGTCCGAAGCCTATAGCCATTGCATCATCAGAATTACTTTTAACATTAACAACAAATTAATTAACAACGCTGTAACGTCAGCAATGGTCCAAACATGTTTATATACATTTATGTAAGAAAACTTACTTGCTGTTTCTCATAAAGAGGGTAGCATGATGAAATAATGTGTAATATCCTTCAAGCTACGTCTAAAGAAAGATAAAAACCGGCCAAGTGAGAGTCGGAATCGCGCACGAAGGGTTACGTACCTTTAAAAACGGCAAAAAATCATGCCTGTTATATGGGGGCCCCCTTAAATTTTTTTTACTCTGATTTTTATTTATTTTTTTTAGCAACAACAGAAATACATCATCTGTGAAAATTTCAACTCCTAACTATCACGGTTCATGAGATACAGCCCGGGGACAGACGGACAGAAACACAGACAGACAGCGGAGCCTTCGCCCGTTTTACCCCTGTGGTACCGAACTCTATAAATGTTTTAAAGTTCATGTTCCTACTGTTTTGTGTTTTACAGTTAATACGTTTTCATGTTTTTTTATAAGTACATAAATACATAATTATATCGACCCATTCTTTTAGGAATACTTTCACAGTTCCGGAGTAGCCAAACGAGTCTCGCTGCACTAAATGACCTCATTGTGCGAGTAAATTAAAGTTAATTTTACATTTCACTCGAGTCGAAACAACCTTCGCCAATCTCATTAAGGTAGACGGTCGTGGAGACTTACCTAATGCTGTTATAACAATAATCCTTCGTGTCTATAACGACGTACGACCTATACTGGTGTTTCGTGTGGTGAGTGAAGTAACCAATTCTTTTAAACTATTATTTTAAACTTAAGTTCGTCTGCGATATTACATGTATTGTCGATCTCCATGCACAGCGGTAATAAATTAACCCTACCCGTATCTTCCCCTGCTCGCTTTCCACTTTCTCAAATAACAAACTAGGACCCGATCCAGACAAGGGAGAGATGTTTCGCATTACTAGTACATTAAGTACCTAAAATAAATTGAACCCACGTTGACATCTCAATACACAACATTCTAGCTACTGAGTCAACTTTTCATCCGATTTTTAGGGTACCGTACCCAAAGGCCAAACGGGACCCTATAACTAAGACTCTGCTGTCTGTCTGTTTGTCCGACTGTCATCAGACTGTATCTCATGAGATGTGTCTGACTCAAGACTGCTAAATGCGGTGATTTTTTTTATATAAGAAGGTAGTTTGCTGTATAACTCCTTCAAACTGGTATAACTCCTTCTCCTGGTATAACTCCTTCAAAGGTAATATTTTTTTTTTGCGCAATTAGTTCGACTATTGATTATTCTCAATCCGACTTTTTATGCTTGTTACCTCAGAATTTTCACCTGAGTGAACAGATTTTGATGATTCTTTTTTTTATTTTAAAGCCGGTGCTTCCCATGTGGTCCCATATTAATTTCATTGGTATTGAATCTTGGGCTCCGGAGATACTTGGAGAACATCTAAAAATCAATTATAAAATGAATACATAGCGAGATATTTGAAGTCGGTTTTTGGGAAGTGAGCTGGGCCGAAGACTGTGTTTGCTTATTAGTGAGTGTTGTATATACATATAAATGTTAATTTTGGATGTTAGCATCATGTGCGTAAAGGAAAAGTGTTTTAATTATTTTACTTTGCGATCTTTGAAGTTCCTGTAATTTAGATTTAGTTGCACTGCCCCAGATTTCAATGAGATGGTGTTTTGTGACTAGTGAATTATAATTCGTGAAGTGATAGCAAGTTAGACGTTGAGAAATATTGCGGAGCGTACCAAAGCAAAAATTGAACGCGACAAAACACTCTTAACACAAACCCAACACCAATTGAATAAAAGCATACATTATCGCCGCTAATATCCTTAACTTTCTTCGGCGTCTCGAGTGCGGTTATCGCATGGCAACTTAGTAAACAAGGCTGGCCGTAAATCAGCCTGTATCGTGTTTACGGGCGCGGGGTGAGCGCCCTGGGTTATCGGCAACTGCCGGTGCCTTGGGGCGGAGCCGGGAGAAATGGTCTCGCTTCGGCTACCGGACCATCGCGTTTTAGTACAGTACAAGTTCTTTTTATAACGAAAACAAAACCGACGTCCAATATCTCGCTCTCGATTCATTTCATCTTTACGGTGGTGTGGCCACGCAACACTTGCACGAATGGTCAGGTCCATCCGGTAAGTACCACACAGAAGACCGGCGTAAAGTAGAAGTGTTACACTTCTGCGTTTCGGCTGGCGAGTGAGGTAGCCGGGGCCCACTTTATTTGAAGGTGGCAACGCATTTGCAACCCTACGGGCGTTGCAAATGTCCGTGGGCGGCGGCGGCAACGCGTGGGCAACCCCGCGGGTGTTGCAAATTTCAATGGGCGGAGGCTACCACTTAACATCGGATGAATCCGCTGCTCGTTACCACCTTCTCACGTAAAGATAAGAGTCCTGAGGGTTATATTCGCTGATAATACCACACGGGTAGGGGTCCGCGTGGGATGCAAATAACACAGCCAGAGTTTGTGGCATGACAAGCAATGGTGAAGGATCATCGACATCCAAAGGCATGCGAATCACCCGAAGGATTTCTAGTAAAACCTAAAAATTAAACGATTATATAAAATCAGTCAATACCGGTCGAAAGTAAAATAATAAATAGTTTCACATGACACCCAATACAAGGCCGATGAACTTCC